GTACCCTAGGTGTGATTTGAGATTCCGCAAGGGGGGAGTTGCTGACCTTGTTATCGCACATTTCTCACTGAAGTGCTCGTCTTTTGTATCTGACATGAATTTAAGACACAAACCATTCTTTGCCGTCTGATCACCTTTACTTCTGCAACTTTTAAGTGGCTCCTCGTTTTTTTTCCTTCCTTCCATATCCCACTGCTGTCCCGATGGCAGCTTCTCCTCGTGAGTGGCTCTTCTGTGGGCTGCTGCTTGCTGGTGGCCGTGGGTGCACGACCAAGAGCTTAAAACGGAACCAGTGCTGTGCTTAGCTTCGTATACATGTGCTTAGGTGTGCCAAGTTTGCTTAGGTGTGCTTAGTTGTGTTTAGGTGTGGTTGTGCTGTGCTTCGCTGGGATGGGATGGGCCTGCATGTTGCGGAATAGGTGGGCAGCCTGGGGCTGCCTGGCACAAACACCCAAATGGGACGGAGTGTCCTCCTTTCAGGTGCTGTGCCATGCCAGGCACCCCGTGGAAATGCAGGGCACTGAACAAGCGGTGCTGCATGCAGCATACATGAGACAGGTGAACCACCAAGCAGCCATGAGACCGGCGAACCACCTCTCGCACGTAAGTGAGGATAGCATGGACTGGCAGGGTTGACTGACACGGTTTCGCACAGAAACTGCAGCACAGAAATGGTGTAGATGCTGCGGTCACCTCCGAATCAGTCAAGTCGGACAAGCAGCCAAGTACTAGCATAGCCAAGCAGCCAACCAACTCCCCAGCCAAACAGCCTTCCATATCCCAGATCCTTGCATCCTGAGTCCCTGACCTCAAGCTTCAGGGTTCATGCATCCCAGACACAGCATATGTATGATGAATGCACACAGCATTTCCATGTCTCCTGACCGCTTCCACAGATGCCCAGCACAGCGAATGGCTGGTGGGGTGAGGGCATGTGTCCCCCACATGTTACCCCAATGAGTCATTGATCCATGTCTCCTGACGCTTCCACAGATGCCAGCACAGCGAATGGCTGTGTGGGGTGAGGGCATGTGTCCTTGTTCCTGTGCCCCAAAGCCCCCGTGCTGCTCAGTGCACTTGCACCCTGCTGAACCAGCAAATTCCATCAGAATGCCCGCCCGGACCAGCCATTTCAATTTGTCGTCTCTCTGCTCCCTTGTATTCCTAAACCATAATGTAGTCACTTGCTGTTGTGCTCCATTGTATGATACCGGCATATTTCTTACTGTTGGGAATATAAACGCATGACTTAGTGCGTTTCTGTAGTATCGAACCTCACCCGATACTGTAGCACAACAAAAGGGGTATGAAGTCGAAAAGACGCGTACCACATCAAACCGCAACTGGAAGTTGCGAGCCGTAACCGCCTGGAGGTTACGCAACAGCAGGCGACGCTTCAGTGAACAGTAACCGCCTCGATAGTCGAAGCGTTACGCGTCTCGATAAACATAACCGCTTCCTGTAATCTATCTTTTTCTATATATTCCTGTATGCTCTTTGCTTTAATCAATTACTTGTTCTCACATACCAGCACAAGTACATTCACTCAAAAGACTTACGCTGTGCTACTCTAGCACCTACTAGCCTATTCTCTGCAAAGATCCCAAGGCTGAAATCCTCAGCCCAACATGGTATGAGAGCAAGTCAGAGAACAAAGGCTTCTCGTCACTAAGCCTCTTCCAGGCTACCGATCTGCAAGCAACCAAGAAGTTCAATCTTCATTCAAGAAAGGCCAAGACATGGCAAGTGGCAAAGAAAGAAGATCATCTACGGGATCTACTCTACCCCGGTCTCCGAGTTGCAGACCGAAGGAGGAACAACGTCCGGAATTAACGCCTGGAAAGCGACGGAATGTTCTACTCAAGCGCCAGTAGCGCCGCCAACAATCTTCAACCCAAGCTTAATGGAGGAGTTCTTCAACTTCATGTCGCAGCAGCAGTCCTCACAGCCTGCAAACAGCAACAGCGTAAACAACGGAGCGGGCACCAATGAGTATTGACAAGCTCATCGTTCGGACGACATAATCAACAAACACCAAATTCGGTCTCACCTGGTTCCTTCACGTTTCATGCCGCCTCGCCATCCAGCGACCCCTCTTCCCGCCATCAAACGAGACACCGAAGAAGTCCTGCAAGTACAAGCACAGTTCAAACAACATCCTACCGACTGCACACATCCACACCATTCAACGGGAAGGACTTCTATTCTTGGAGCTTCGAGTTTGAACTCTCTGATGGAAGGCGCGAATCTTCTTGGATTCTTCAACGGTACCTGGCCATATCCACACAACGGCGAAGACAAAGACAAAGAAAATTATACGTATCACTCCCTGATGGCTTACACCGTTCTTCTCCGAAACCTGTCGCCGAACGAACAACAAAGCATCCGCGCCTACCGGAACTACGCAAACTCCGCGGAACTCGCCTATCAACATCTGCGAAGCATTCATCAAGCATCCGACAGCGTTACACAAAGCCGACTCATGGCACAACTGACAACAGTTCAAATGCAACCTGGAGAAAGGCCATGCCTTACAATTAGGTCGCTGTCAAGGACTACGCGACAGACTTATTCGCTGCGGAGGAAACTTATCTGAAGAAGCTTTCGTAACCGTCGTTCTTGCCGGCCTTGGACCTCAATGGCGGCACCACCCGTTCACTTCTTCGCGCTCACGGTCGACTCTCCGAAATGCATCTCTGCGCCGAACTTCACGCCGAGCACGCAGGAAATGGACCTGTTCGACGAACGCAACAACAAAAGGCATCATCAACCAGTTGTTCTTTACACCAATCGACGACAGCCACGTTACCAAAACCGAGGACACGTACCTCCTTATTGTCATCTGTGTCGGACTTCAGGACACACACGTTTTCAACTGCCCTCAGCAACAACGACAACCAGCACCATTCTCTCGTCCTCTGCGACCCGCGCCTCCCTGCATCGCGTCAACTCAACAACGACCCGCTACCGCCTCAAGGACTACTTCAACGCGGACCGTCAACTTCCACTTCGGGACCTGCACAGACATCAAGAATCGTCGCCATGACACGAACAACAGAGTCAAACATCGACCTCGTGTATTTCCGGGCTCACCACCGACTTACAGTCCTGATGAGCAACAGTCACCACCACCGTCGTCCCTTAACGTGAATCCAACGTACGCCGCCATCGCGAACAGTGCACCCACCGGACCAGAACATGGTTCCTCGACAGCTGTTGCGGATCATCACATGTGCTCTTCATCACGATTTCTTTAGCGCGAACGACGTCTTCCGCGAGACGTCATCATCACCGTCGCCAACAACGAAAAACCTGCGCACCAACAAACAAGGAGTCGTGGAGCTTCAGTCAAACGAAACAAACGTTATCCTTCAACTAAACAAAGTACTCGTCGTCGACAACCTCGGCTTCAACTTACTGAGCGTCAGCCCACTCATGTCGAAAGGCGTTCACCTGGAGTGCGACTCCGACGCCCTGGAAATCCGTCTTTACCACGGAAAAGGGGGGTCTTCATCGGCCGCGCAATCCAACAAGATGACGTGTTCGTCCTCGATTTCGTCCCCGACAAAGGCACCGCAGACAGCGACGGCATAGTCGCTCTCGCACCTTGGACGCATCCGCCAGACCTCGACCTGAACTTCAGTCCTGAAGGCTTCTGGTACTCTCGTACCATTCCCGAAGCTGAACGCACCAACGCGCTTGCCGTCCTGCAAACACAAGCAACAACACCTGAGTCAGCACCCGTCATCGAAACAACAACTGCACCCGTCACAGCACCAACAACCACCGAACCTGCAGTTGAAGAACCAACCGTCGTCACGGAACAACCTTCCGAAACTCCACAGCCCGGTCCCTCCGTCGCACCACCACCTCTCATCATCGACACGCCACCGACAGCCGCCCAACAGTTAACGCCAGCACCACGTGCCGTTCATCGAAGTGCAGCAACACACGCCGCCTTTTTCGCTAACGCAGACTTCTATCAACGCTCCGTCGGTCACAGCGCCTCCGAAGACATCTGGCATCAACGTCTTGGACATCCTGGAAACAAAACACTTTACAACACAATACGAGCCGGAGTGTTAGACAAGAACGCCCTACTTCTTCCCAACGGACGTGAACTCGAACGACCACGCGGCACTTGCTTCATCTGCCCGGAAGCAGATTATCTCACCAAGAAGCTACCAAAGGGGAAATTCGAGTACTGCATGCTGCTCACCGGATTGGGCCACGTCACCGAAGCTGACCACGTCGACACTCCAGAAACGAAGGGGAGTGTTGGGAATATAAACGCATGACTTAGTGCGTTTCTGTAGTATCGAACCTCACCCGATACTGAAGCACAACAAAAGGGGTATGAAGTCGAAAAGGCGCGTACCACATCAAACCGCAACTGGAAGTTGCGAGCCGTAACCGCCTGGAGGTTACGCAACAGCAGGCGACGCTTCAGTGAACAGTAACCGCCTCGATAGTCGAAGCGTTACGCGTCTCGATAAACATAACCGCTTCCTGTAATCTATCTTTTCTATATATTCCTGTATGCTCTTTGCTTTAATCAATTACTTGTTCTCACATACCAGCACAAGTACATTCACTCAAAAGACTTCCGCTGTGCTACTCTAGCACCTACTAGCCTATTCTCTGCAAAGATTCAAAGGCTGAAATCCTCAGCCCAACACTTACAAACCTGCATGTATGTAATGTACAGCAACAGGTTTGAAATTGCAATAGGGCAGCCGTGTTGTAGTCACCTGCTGATGTGCCTCATTGTATCCTATATCTGGCTGGGCCTGTTCTGTAGCACTGGGAGGACCTTTGTTCTTGGAATAATCTAGGCTAGTATCTACGCAACCCAACTCGCACAACCCACCTCGTGTTTCCCTCGCTGCTATTGGCACCCCTCGTAATTTCGGCTCCTCACAGCGTGATCCGGATTCTAGCCATCACGCTGTAAGAGGCTCCTTGCGTCCCCTCCTCGTCGCACCACTCGAGTTCGCGCCATGATCTACACGACCATTGACTCCTTCTATCTGACCAAGGACCAGATAGATGACTCGCCGTCGCGCAAGGAAGGAGTGGACAAGGAAACGGAGTATGTCCTCCGTGTATACGGCTGCGAGCTTATTCAGGAGTCCGGAATTCTCTTAAAACTGTGAGCTCGCTCGCTCGACGATAGACGATGTTGCTTCCCTTCTCGTTCGTTCATCCTTAGCTTATGCTAGCATTTGATTCGCCGGCCTCAGGCTGTAATGGCCACTGGACAAGTCCTCCTCCATCGATTGACGTTAATTACGTAGCCAGCTTCCGCTGCTTGTTCGTTCGCCCTGACTTCATCCGCGGCTTGCATTCTTCTGCAGGCCTCAGGCTGTAATGGCCACCGGACAAGTCCTCTTCCACAGATTTTATTGCAAGAAGTCGCTGACGCGGTTCAATGTCAAGGTGAGAATTTTCACCTTACCTGCGTCCATAATGCCATTCCGGCTGCCTAGAATGATAACCCTATCCATTTTGCTGTCGTGTACATGATGGGCTTATTCTGATAGCTTGTCATGATTCCCGCAGGGTGTTGCTGCGAGCTGCGTGTGGCTCGCGTCGAAGCTGGAGGAGAATCCTCGGCGGATTCGTGACGTGCTCAACGTCTTCCACCGGATTAACTTAAGGCGTGACAACCTCCCGTTAGTTCCCCTAGAGCAGTTCTCAAAGGTGCGCTTCTACCTCACAAACCCTCTTGCCCGCCTTCCCTACTCATGCCACCGGCTCCCCCACTCCCCCTTCTCCCTCCCTTGCTTGCTCGCTCACTCGCCCCCCTCCTTTCTTGCTCCCTCACTTCCCTATCTCCTGTCAATGGAGCTGTATGTTATTTACCCTGTTTACTGTGCCTAGGCTAATAGAATTACACTTACTGTACTCCTTCAGAACTATGAGGACTTGCGCACGGAGCTGATACGAACGGAAAGACACATTCTGAAGGAGATGGGGTTCATCTGCCACGTGGAGCATCCCCACAAGTTCATTTTCAACTACCTGCGACAGCTCGACGTGCTCGATGATGCTGTCAAGCACGAGGCCTGGAACCTCGCCAATGACAGGTGCAGCATCGCTCTTCTTTATACATGTCAATGTCGATTAATGGGCACTCATAGAGTTGTTCCGTTCTGACCAGCTCTTTATGACCATGCAGTTTGCGGACGGTGCTGTGTGTGCGGTTCAAGAGCGAGGTTGTGGCATGTGGGGTGATCTACGCAGCAACGAGGCGGGCTCGCATACCACTGCCAGAGAACCCGCCCTGGTGGCTGGCGTTCGACGCGTCAAAGGAGGGCATTGACGAGGTGTGCAGGGCGCTGGCGGAGTTGTACAGGCGGCCCAAGGCGCAGTACATTGAGGTTGCCAAGGGCAAGGACACCAAACCGTTTGTGCTCACCACGAGAGGATGGGAGCCGCCTCCTGATCCCCAGGTAGAAACCACCACGCATTCCGCCCTTCCCTCCTTTGTCCATCGCTGCATTTCTCGCACATACTCTCTGTCATGACCCTTTTTGACGGTTTACTATGTCTGAATTTTCACTTGTGCATTTGCCATTCTTCTCATACACAGGAGCTTCCCGGAGTTTTGAAACATGCTGCACCTGTTCTGCGCCCACTCCACCACCCTCCGATTCGATGCCAGCGCCTGTTGATGCTGATGCGGCTGCAGCTGCTCCCCCTGCCCCTGCCCCTGCCCCTGCCCCTGCCCCTGCTCCTGCTCCTGATGTTGAAATACCAGCTACAGCTGTTGTTGAACCTGGGTCCCCTGCCACCACAAAGCCAAGCTCTGGGGATGATCCAGCAGCAGAGGCGGGCAAAAGGCGAGAGTCTCCACGGAAAGTGGTCAAGCGATCCACTAGCCCCGACAGTGACCGTGGTGTGCAGGGCCAGCCTGGCAAGCGGAGGAGAAACATGAGAGACACAGGAGATGGTGGGGATCCAGACCGCACAGAGAAGGACGAGTCGGAGTCAGATGGAGAGAAAACGTTGGTGAGCAAGAGAAGGGAGAAAGAGCTGGCACTGAAAGAGATGAAGCTGAGGGAGCAGCTGAAGCGAGACCTGGAGAAGAAAAAGGGAGCGCAGCGGTTGGGGATTGGGAAAGCAGGCATGGACGGTAAGGAGAAAGAGCGGCAGCAGGATATGGAGGGTGGGAGGGAGAAAGAGAGGGACAGGGAGCGGGATCGGGAGTGGGCTCGAGAGCGTGAGAGGGAGCGGGAGCGGAGGGAGCGAGAGCGTGCAAACCGGGATGTTGAGCGTGAGAGGGACAGGAAGGATGGGAACAGAGACAAGAGGGAGGTAGAGAGGGATGACCGGGGTGGTGATGGGGACCGCAAGGATCGAGATCGGAGAGATAGGGACCGGGATGGCGACAGAGATAGGGATGGTGACCGTGATGTGGAGCGCGATCGGTCGTTTCGAGATGAAGGCCGGCGCAACCGTGAACCTTTCGGTAAGTGAATAATAAAGTTTTGGTTTAGTTTGAATCGTGAGCTGTTCATGGGCATGGCGGTTGCTGTTTGCTGCTGGCTTGATCACTTGTTACTCTTGGCAATAATGTCACGAGTTGCAACCTCCCTGCAGGTGGTCGCGATGGTGGGCGTGGTCGGCAACCTGCTCCACGAGGTGAAATCATTATTTCCTGCTTGGTCTTCATCTTGTTTGCACTTCCAGATGCACACTAATACTTCTACTTGTTTTATGGATTGCAGAGAGGGAGTTCGCTACATCTAAGGACAAGCACCGGAGGCGGTGATTGGTGATTGTGCCGAAGCTTGTTTTGTTGGGCCATCGTTGTTCCGTGCTCGTCTTGCCAAGCTTCTGGTCCGTCCGGTGTGCTGGACTTTTTCAAACCGAATCAAGACCAGGGCAACTAGCACAACATACAAGGCCCATGTCAGTCAGATGAGAGTACCGCATCTGATTACCTGAGAACTTTCATCTTGACTCACAAATCGCTGCACCCTTAAATTTAACGGTACGGTCGGTTATCTGGGTCCTCCTCCGTCATCACCGTACATACTTTTCTTCAGCAGCGCAAGCAAGCAACTATCATTCCACAGTGGTACCACTCGCTCTTCCTCCCACCACTGATTTGAATCAACACCAATGCATGCCCGTGTCTTTTAGGCTCTACTTCTCGGACTTGCTGGCCCGTGTGTGAACGTAGGAGGGTTGTCTAGGGCATATGGGTCACACGATGATGTCACATGGGGACATGCAGGGCACCCCCTAACAACGTTGCCGGCGGTGGTGACTCCTGGTCACAGCAGATCCACCATGTATCGACAGATTGCCGTGGATAACAAACGAGATTCTGAAGTTTCGACTTCACCATGTAGGGCTGAGAAAATAGCCCTAAGGATCTTTACAAGGGTGAATTCTGGGTAGGACTGATGTAATAGCGGAAGCTTAATGAGAAGTATTTGAACCACCTTGCGGTAGTATGTGAGGGCAAAGTCGATTGATTAAAACAAAGAGATACAAGATTATATAGGAGTACAAGGAATATGAAGGGGTACAGTTATAACTGTTTTACTGTTGCTGTTGCGGTTCGATACAGTGACGACTCGGGCAACTGCTCTGTAGCAAGTCAGTTGTGTGTCCTTGCTGTTGCGCTGTACTTTGTCAGGTCAAAGGTCGCTGACCTTTGACTTTCGCGTAACCTCCTACAGTTACTTTCAACCTCCGAGGGTTGACTCGCTGGTGCTTCGATATGCTTCGCTTCGTTTGTGCCTTAGTGTTTCGCACGACAGAGGCGCTTAAGTTCGATTGTTTCCAACACTCCCCTTCGCTTCTGGAGTGTCGCTGCTGGTGACGTGGCTCTGTCCAGTCAGCAGCATGCAGTACTCGAACTTCTGCTTTCTGAGCTTCTTTGTCAAGTAGTCAGCTGCCATCTCGGACGTGGGGCAGTATGACAGCTCGAGCCTCCCTTTCTCGATCTCGTCCTTCACGAAGAAATATCGCAGGGCGATGTGTTTCGTCCTGTTCGCGAAGCCGTTCTTGTTGGCGATGCGAATTGCCGACTGGTTGTTGCAGAACAGAGTAAAGCTGGGTGACTGAGCCAGCTTCGCTTCTTCCAGCAGTTCGCGAAGGTAAAGTCCTTCCTTGGTGGCTGAACAGGGTGCAATATATTCTGCTTCAGCTGACGAGAGGGCGATTAATTCCTGCTTGCTCGACTGCCAAGAGATAGGTCCGATAGGTTCGAGGCGGTAGATGTAGCCGGTGCGGGAGCGCCTGTTGTCGGAGTCGCCAGCGTGATCGGCGTTGACGTAGCCGATTAACTTAGGCGTGTAGTTGCGTTTTTGTAGTAAGTTAGGCCGATCGTCGGGGTGCTGACGAGGTAGTGAAGAGCGCGGTCGAGCTCCGCCAGATGTTATGCTTCAGGCTTCTTGAGGTAGGTGGCGAGCTGACTTGCAGAGTACGATAGGTCCGGGCGGCAGGTGACAGCTGCGAAAAAGAGGCATCCCAGTTTCCTCTGGTAGTCGAGTATGCCGGCGTGCTTAAGTAGAGTGGAGCTTCCCTTGCTGTTTCATGTCGTGTAGCGGTACGGTGTGGAGATGGCGGTCGGTGTGAGTGCGAAGCGCTTGGCGATGGTGTCGGCGTATTTCGCGGCACTGAGGTAGATCGCATCTTCCTCTTCTCGGATGTTGAGACCGAGGTACTGTGTGACGCTAGATGAGACCGTGAGCGTGAGGTCCTTCTGCAGCTCTCCTTCGAACCAGGTTGTGATGCTGTCGGTCGAGCCGATGTAGAGTAGATCGTCTACGTAGACGATTAACAGGATGTAGTCAGTGCCCTTCGTGAGCCGGTACATGCCCTGGTCGTGCGGTTGTTGTTTGAAGCCGATGCGAATGAGGCGAGCGTGCAGGTATTGTTGCCATAGCTGCGGAGCTTGCTTGATGCCGTAGAGCGACTTCAGCAGCTGACAGACTTGATTGGGCTCACCGTTGGAGCCGTGCGGCAATTCGACAAAGATTTCTGCGTCAACAGGTGCGTAGAGGAATGCGTTCGCGACGTCGATTTGTCGCAGCTTCTTCTTCTTCATGGCGGCGATCGCGAGGAGGATTCGGAGTGAAGTGTGTCGACTGACCGGAGCGAATGTTTCGGTGAAGTCGCGTCCGTGTTCTTGGTCGAAGCCGCGTACGATCCAGCGAGCTTTAAACTTGTCGATGGTGCCGTCAGCCTTTGTCTTCACACGGAAGACCCACTTCCGGTGAGTACTGTTTTGATCCGTGCTACGCCGATATGGACGACCTTCCAGGTGTTGCGTTCCTCGAGTGCCTTTAGCTCCCTGTCCATGCTTCACGCCATCTTTCCTTATGTCCCCCCCCAGAGCCTGTTGAACTGTCGCAGGCTCTTTAGGAATGGCTGTGCCGTGAACTGCGGTAACGAGGCCAAGGATTTGGAGTCCACTCTGTGTGTAGCGGGGATGAAGTGTCCTCGGGATAAACTGCT